ACCCTGTCTGGAAAAAGAACTCACACTCACATGAAAGTAGACAGAATTGTATAATGAGCCCCCATCTACCCATCACCCAGCTTTAACAATTATCATCCTTGCTTCATCTTACCTCCCACCTACTTCTGTAATTACACTGGTCGAAGATCTAGAAGCTTGGTCAGATTAAGTTTAACTTTCATGAAGCTTTTCTTTTAAGATTTTGTTTTCTCAAAATAATAAAATGTTCCTTTTTTAACTTTTATAGTATGATTACTTTTCTATTTTTATTTGAACTCTTCCCTGGTCTTCACAAAAATTCATTTCTTTCTTGTCTTTGGCATGTTGTCTTTCTCTAGTTTGCTTTTGACTTCGGGCAGTTTAGCAATTTTCTCATATCTCCTATCCATGATTCCTCAAGAGTGTGCTTCCTGCCTCCTTTTCTTCTCTTTGTAGACTAAGGCTATATATAGATCATGATTTAGCATGGAAGAATCTAACTATCTTTGGAAAAAATGGGATTTTCCTCTCATCCCTGTGTAGGAAATGCTCCAGTAATACATACTAAATACTATACTGCTTATGCATTTCCCCAATAGGCTACTCTTAAAGTTGTTATTTGCTCAGTGTCTGTTCTTCCAGGGGAAAGTTTGGAGCTTTTAAGTTGTCAGTGTCTCTTTCGCAGTGGCTTGCATATGGCAATTCTTTTTCCTTTTTCTGAATATTTATTCTCTTAAATGTGGAATCCTGCAGTGAATCACTAGGTTGTTTCATTCCCCTCATATCACTCTGCCTGTTCTTGTTCCATGGTTTCTCAATCTCCTTTATGCCAAAAGATTGCTTACATTATTACATTTTAAAAAATTCCTTCATGTTTACTTTTACTAAAGCTCAAAACACGTCTTCACCATTTGCTTTTGGTAGAGAGTACTTTTAGTGATGCAGTATTTAACTATAGAAGTAGAGACAGTGCTGTAAGGACTTTCTTTCATGTTTGGCCTCAAGGTGAGGTTTTCATTTTTATGTTTTGAGTCTTATCTTTCTAGTATTACATTACTCTTTAGGCTCCTATTCATTTCTTTCCCTCAAGAGCTCAGCATTCTTTGCTCTATCCTCTTGAACCCTGAGAACCCTGCTACATTTCCAGATGGCTGTCCTGGCCAAGTGATCATTGAAAATTCCAAAGTTCCCTCTTCCCTCTAGCTCTCGTTGAGGAGAAAGGATGCTTGGAACATAGTTTTTGGGGTGTGATATTTACTTCTTGCCATCAGATGGCACTGCAGATTACCCAATTTATTTTTAAATCTTTAGGAATAATAGACCTAATAGTACATTATTTGGTAAAGAAACAAGTTGGGAACTATCACGGAGAAGACTTAGAAATAAAAGTAAAGACGCTATTGCTAACAAGTACAAATTTATTTTCTTTTATGTGGTGGAAGTGTATATAATATATGAAGCTTAAAGGAAAGTAAATAGTAAGTATTTTTTAGTTATTTTGATTTCCCTAGGCTTTTAAATATTTTAAACTATTTTCTTTTTCTTTTAATTTTTTTTTTTAATTTCAGGATATTACAGGGGTACAAATGTTTAGGTTACACATATTACCTTTACTCCACCCGAGTCAGAGCTTCAAGTGTGTCCATCCCCCGACGGTGCGCACTGCACCCATTAGGTGTGAATATACCCATCCCCTCCTCCTCCCTCCCACCTGCCTGACACCCGATATGTTACTACTATATGTGCACTTAAGTGTTGGTTAGTTAAGTCAGTATCAATTTGATGATGAGTACATGTGGTGCTTGTTTTTCCATTCTTGGGATACTTCATTTAGTAGACTGGGCTCCAGCTCTATCCAGGAGCTGGTGCAAGAGGTGCAAGGTCACCATTGTTTTTTGTGGCTGAGTAGAACTCCATGGTATACATATACCACATTTTATTAATCCACTCATGTATTGATGAGCACTTGGGTTGTTTCCACATCCTTGCAATTGTGAATTGTGCTGCTATAAACATTCTAGTGCAGATATCTTTTTTATAGAATGCCTTTTGTTCCTTTGGGTAGATGCTCAGTAATGGGATTGCCGGGTCAAATGGTAGTTCTCCTTGTAGCTCTTTGAGCCTCATTGTTCTTTGCCTGCTGCCCTGGGGTAGAGCTTCTGCTCCAGATGTGGTGCCTGGATGGAAGAAGTGAGCCCTAGACTACTAGCCGTGCTTGTTTAAGATAGCACTTCTGCCAGCACATAGCTAGGGTAGATGCAAGTGCTGGCTGCCTGCCTGCCTGGGGAGAAACCGTAGCCCTATACTAGGAGCTGGGATGAGAGAGAGCCCTGTGTTCTTGGCTGTATCTTCCTGGAGTAGAGCTTCTGTTACACTGTGGGACAGGCCTGGGATTGTGGCTCAAGAGCCACAGATTCTTGCTATTCTTTTGAAATCCTGGACTCAAGCAACCCTCCTGCCTCAGCCTTCTGAGTAGCTAGTACTAGAGGTGTGCACCACCAGGCCCGGCTAATTTTTAAAATTTTTTTGTCAAAACAGGAGCTTTCTATGTTGCCTAGGCTAGTCTCTAACTCCTGACTTGAAGCAATCCTCTGCTCTTGGCCTCCCAAGGCACTTGGCGTTACAAGCGCTTGAGCCACCAAAGCGCAGCCTGGCCTCCTCTAATTCTTTTAAGCTGGAATGTAGGCCAAGTCTTGATTAGATTAATGTTGAACTTTTTTTGTGTTTCAGAAGTGAAGTTGTAGACTTACTGCATTGCATCTATAGGCACTTAAAGTCAAGTTGTATTGCTGTTGCTGATGCTAAGTTTGGGTTCTCGGTTAAGCTGGTGACTGACAGATTTCTTCAGTTTAAATATTTGCTTGTTTCTTCATTGCAATTAGCAAGTAATCTGTGGAATGATCCTTGACACACTGGAACATTCTGTTCCTTCATAAGTGTTTTTTCACTTAATGGTTTTACCATCTGTTATTGATCCATGGCTTAATAAATTATTTCACTGTGGGAACCTTTTTTTAATTTTGAAATTCTCTTATCTTCAATTTTTACACCTCTTTTTCTAAGTCAGTCTACTACATACTGCATTAGCATTTAATAGACTTGGTGGGGTTATTGTTTGTGTGAAATGCCCTGAAACTAGGAACAAACACAGATAATGCAGTACTCTAAAGAAAATTATTATGGCTGAAATTAAAGTCACTGCAGGCCTGTGAAGTCTATCTGTTGGTGGCAGGTAGAGGTGCTGAGTTTTCTTTTGTTTATTTGTTTCATTTAATGAATATTTACACGTTTCCAACTACAGGCACATCTGTATGCCTTTGGGCTTTGGATTTTTACCCACTCATGAGAACCACTCATACTGTTTCTGGGTCGAAAATAATACTCTGAGTGCCAACTGCTATGCTAAAAACCTTATTTTTCACAATTTTTTTTTGAGACAGGGTCTCACTGTATTGCCCAGGCTGGAGTGCAGTGGCATGATCGAAGCTCATTGCAACCTCCAACTCCTGGGCTCAAGTGATCCTCTTGCCTCAGCCTCCCAAGCAGCTAGGGTTACCGGTGCGCACTATCACACCCTGCTAATTTTTCTTATTTTTTGTAGAGATGTGGTTTTGCTATGTTGCCCAGGCTGGTCTCGAATTTCTGGGCTCAAGTGATCCTCCCGCTTCAGCATCCCAGATTGCAGGTGTGAGCCACTATGCCTGGCCCCACAGTTACTTTTAATAATAAGAATGGTTTCCTCTGCTTTTCATCCCAGTAACCGGCAGAATTTGGGTAGAAAACAGGGACCTTTCTGATTCTTATCATCCTATCAGCTGTTACAGTGCCTAGTACAAAATTGGTGCTCTAAAAATATATGAACTGAGCTTTTCCTCACAGACTGTATGGACTTCATGGGAGGAAGGATCAAAGCAAGGAGAGAAGGGGACAGGGCATGTACTTCTGGAGAAGACCTGCAAGGGCAGGGTGCTGGAGGGAGGTATGGATGGGAAACTTAACAGCTTTCATTAGAACAGGTAAATGGTGAGGGTAAATGGGGCATGAGGATAAGAGTGCATAGACAAGGATTCCTGTGCTGGGAAGGTCAGAGAGATAAGGTGTGTGTTTATGTGAGTTCTCTGCACAAATTTTTGCTCTAGGGGAAAATTACTTTGGGAGTTGACAGTATTCAGTGATTTTTTAAGTACTAGCCCCAAACAAGGTTATGGTTTTTTTTTAATTTCTTTCTATGGTGGTGGTGGCGGGATGGGGATAAGTTTTGGTAGAGCTTTTCTCTATTTATATGTTGATATCAATATATTCATATATTGTTCCTATTCTATGGCTTTTGTCATACCTATATATAAATTCAGACACCTTATTTTGCGCCATAAAGTCCTACGTGATCTGTTCCTGCCTACTTCTCCAACTTCTTCTTGTACCACTTTCTCTTCTTCTCACAAAGTGTGGGTTACACTGGCCTTCTTAAGTGTGTTTTTAATCCCAGCCTCTTTATTTCTAGCTGGTTTTTTCTATCCGGAGCTCTGCCTTCAGATCTTTGTATGGCTGGCTGTCTCTTTTCATTCATGTCTCTCATAAATGTCACTTCAGAGGAGCTTTTCCTTGAACACTCAATCTAAAGTAACACAGTCATTTGCAGTCAGTCTTTAATGTTATTTTATTTTCTTCATATCACTACCTCTTTTTTTCCCCCTTTTTCCTTTTTATAGATCTGTCTTCTAGAATGTAAGCTGCATGAAACAGGGACACTTTTAGTTCACTGCTATCTTGTCTATACCTAGAATGGTGCCTGGCACAGTGGGCTTTCAGCAGTTTTATTGGATAAATCAGTTAATTAGCTAAAGTGATTCAGAGTGAAGTACTTTATTGTTCAGAATTGATCACCTTCCTTTATTCAGCAAATATTTATTAAGTGTATGTCATATATCATGTTGGGCTGGCTCCCAGCACTGCAAAGATAACTTAGATGTTGGTTTTGTCTCTCAAGGATACTGATTAAGACGAGTGGCGTTGGTGTTCAAGTCCAAGCAGTACCACTTACTAGATTGTGGCCTTGGCAAGGTAAAATCTCTGATCTCTAATTTTTTTTTTTTTTTTTTGAGATGGAGTGTCTCTCTGTCACCTGGGCTAGAGTGCCCTGGCGTCAGCCTAGCTCACAGCAACCTCAAACTCCTGGGCTTAAGTGATTCTCCTGCCTTAGCCTCTCAAGTAGCTGGGATTACAGGAGCGTGCCACCATACCCAGCTAATTTTTCTATTTTTGGTAGAGATGGGGTTTTGCTCTTGCTCAGACTGGTCTCAAACTCCTGAGCTCAAGCTATCCTCCTGCCTCAGCCTCCCAGAGTGTTAGGATTACAGGTGTGAGCTACCGTGCCCAGCCTTTTAATTTTTTATGTGAAAAATGGATTGCCACATTGGATTCTTCTTAGGAATAAATGAATGAAGCACTTAGCACAATACTAGGCATGTAACACATGCTCAAATATTAGTTTATTTTGTAAAACTTTTAATTTGAGCTGGCTGCTCTTGCATTGCTTGATAGAAAGTGAATAAATCCCTGCTTTTCATACCCTGGACTGTTAGTTTCCTTGTGAGAATAGTTCAGCTATAAGTCAGTGCATTAGCAATGGAACTGGACTTTCAGATGTACCTCAGTTTTAGATCTTTTAAAGTTGTGCTTCTTAAACTTTGGCAATTAAAAGATTGACCTAGAGAACTTTATTAAAGCATAGATTTTTGCTCAGCTGACTCCTGCTGCTATTCTCATTTGCTAGGTTTGAAGAGAGGATAGAGAATTTATATTTTTATGAGGGTCCCAGGTAATGCTGGTGCTACCAGCCTTTGGATCACACTTTGATTAGGGGTTTCCTAGATTGTGCAAATACGGTAGCCATTAGCCACATGGGGCTGTTGAAGTGTGGTTTGAAATGAGATATACTTTAAATGTAAAATATACACAGGATTTTGAAGACCTACTATAAAAAAAGAATGTAAAATATCTCAGTATTTTAAAGGTATTATATGTTGAAATCATAACATTTTGGATATATCAAGTTAAATATATATTATTACAATTAATTTCAAATTTTTTACCATTTAATGTGGCTAATAGAAATGTAAAGTTACATACATAGCTTGTTTTCATGGTTTGCATTATATTTCTACTAGACAGCAAAACATACTGCCTGTCTTTTTAAATTATCCTCCAGGGCATCAATAAAGTGAATTTCTTTCGTATATCCTGTTTTTGAAGTCATACATTACCAAAAAACCCTCTAAATTGAGTGAAAATTCATTCACTTGTTTTCAAGTGCTAATAAACATAGAAATTTTTATATTGTTCAAGACAATTCCAGTTAGTGAGGGAGATAATAGATTAATATTATCAAGGCACCCTAGTCAATTCTAAAATATAGGTAAGAACAGAGTGCTAATTTAAAATATTAATCCAACTCTGTTGCTAATCGGTAGAATTTTTTGGATTCCAGTTTTTAGGCCCTTAAGATGATACAATTAAATTTTTGTGTTTTAGATGAGCCCTGCTTTGCTATACAGGCTTTAAAATGGTTGATTTTCCTTAAGAGTTCTCATATTTTAGGTAAATTCCTTATTGGATCAACATTTGAGACCTTCCCTTTCACTGCAGTTTAATTATTAATAAAACCCTATCCAACCCATGGAACAGCAGGCAAAGAAAATAAAAAAATAAATAAAAAAAATAAAACCCTTGTAATAAAGGAGTCATTTGCTTTGGCTATATTCGTTATAGGTTAATGACTTTCAGACCGTTTTGTTTGTTTGTTTTAGTTTTTTTTTTTAAAGACAGGGTCTCACTGTGTCACCCAGGCTGGAGTGCAGTGGCATCATCATAGCTCACTGCAGCCTCCAACTCCTGGGCTCAAGGAATCCTCCTGCCTCAGCCTCCCTAGTAGCTGGGATTATAGGGTATGTACGACCACACCTGGCTAATTTTTTAGTTTTTTGTAGAGACAGGGTCTTGCTCATTGCCCAGGCTGGTCTAGAACTCCTGGCCTGAAGCCATCCTCCCACCTCGGCCTCCCGAAGTGCTAGGATTACAGATGTGAGCCACCATGCCTGGCCTGACTTTCAGGCTTTTACTGTGTGGAACATTCTTCAGTTTTAGATATAGCTACTAGCAGAAAGCTAATTCCCAGTCACCTCTGTACTGAGAACTTAGATTTATTTTCTATTAATTTTTAGCTTTCAATTTTAATCTCACATATTTTGTGCATATACATTGTGAACAACTATACATACTCACTAAATATACAATTGTACGTAATTTTGGGGGTGATTAGAAACAGAATCCTAGAGAATTCAATAAATTGTTCGTGTATTTGTAGAAGGGCTTCAGATATGTGATACAGGATTAGATGACCTGACTCTTAATATCCTTTCTAACTTAGGTTTTATATTTTTGTTGAATGGTTCAGTTTGGGTTTTTTTCAGCATTTTCTGAGTATGCATTTATCTGTTTCTTAAAATGTTTTGAACATGTACCATTGGTGGTATGTAAGATGATGTTAGGAGGTACTTACCAATGAGTCAAAGCAGTTCTCCTTCAGTTCTCTTCCTTTTGATCTTCTCAAGGATAAAGTTGGGCACTAGTATGTGGTTAATACCTTTATAACACTTATTAATCTTTTTAAAAGAAAGGCAGAAGGCATTATGCTCAGTCTTGGGCAAACAATGGTATTTAACCAGAATTTAGAAACTTTGGGTTTTGTGTATGTGTTCTCCCCATGCCCTACCTCTCCATTTACTATTAACTTCTATTTCTGGAACAATGAAAGACAGTTTCCTTTAGAAATAAATTGATTTAAGCAAAAGTAATTTGAACTATGGGAGTTTTAAGAGTATGGATGGTACATAGAAAAGGTAGAAATCAAGCAGAAACATGAAGCCTGTAAGTGAATGAAGTATAGGAGTATTTCAGAACATAAATTTATGTTACTGTTAATTTTTTATTACCTGTAATGTACATTTAAGTATGTTAATTTATCATTGCCAGGTTTCCATGGATCTCAATAGTGCCAGCACTGTTGTTCTTCAGGTCTTAACACAGGCCACCAGTCAGGATACTACTGTGTTAAAACCAGCTGAGGAGCAGTTGAAACAGTGGGAGACCCAGCCCGGTTTCTATTCAGTGTTGTTGGTAAGTTGTTCTAAAGTAATTTATTTTTATTTTGATAATATGAGACACCATATTAAAACCTAAAAACCTAGTTTTATTGGGGATTTCTTTAAGGAAACTGATCCATATGTTTGGCTGATGTTGCCACTGCCAATATTTTATTAATTTAATGTATGGCTTATTGATGATGTTTTAAGAAATATTTGTTGATAAATATATAAATAATCAAGCAGAATATCTGTAGTACCTCATCAGAAGACAACACTGTGCTGTTTTTCAGTTTTGGCGTCTTACTGCTGACATCATGACTGTAGGTAGTACACCTTCATGTTTTGTCTTCTTCCCTACTCTAATTAATTATGTTGCCATAGTTGTTCAGGTGTCTGTATTGCAGCATCAGATTCAGGTATGCTGTGCTCAATGTGTTTCACTTTAAAGCATTGTTCTTTTGTTCTTTTTTTTTTTTTTTTTTTTTTGAGACTGAATCTAACTCAGTCACCAGGAATAGCGTGCAGTGGCATCATCATAGCTCACTGCAACCTCATCCTCCTGGGCTCAAGTGATCTTCTTGCCTCAACTCCTGAACCACAGTGCCCGGCTAAGTTTTCTATTTTTAGTAGAGACAGGGTCTTGTTCTTGCTCAGGTTGGTCTCAAACTCCTGACCTCAAGCGTCCTCCTGCCTTGGCCTCCCAGAATGCTAGGATTACAGGCGTGACCCCCACGCCTGGCCAACACATCTGATCTTTTCCTGGGTGTTATGGGAAATAGTATAATGGTTTAATTAATAATATGTGCTTTAACCAAATCTTCCTTGGAACTTACAGTTTTGGGCTAATTAATAAAAATTGTTAATTATTAATTATTTCTCAATACCAGAATGAAATAAGTCTTTTTGTGTTAAGAGCCTTCCCTATTCTTTTCCTCTGAAAAACTGAGAACTTTTAGTTTCTGATCAGGGCAGTGAGGCTACTGATTGAGTTGGAAATTGACCCAATATTTGTGACTGGGTAACAAATTTTAAGCAATATTGTTTACCATGTCTTGTTAAATAGAAGAAATGATAGCAATTTAACATATATATTTTAACTCCTTGGCTAAAAATTTTGATTTTTTTGTTAAAGTTAAGAAGATATTGGTCATGCCTGTAAAGGAAATTAAGTGTTTGGGAGTCATACTTGTTATTCTGACTATAACACGAAAGTTGGCTATTTGACTCAGTAACAAAAAGGTAAAAAAAGAGATTGATTTTAAGACAATAAAAATATCTCGTTTTTTAATATAATCCCAGCATCATGTTTGTAAATTTTGAGCATAGTATAAATCTTTATAAAATTTCTGTCTTTACTCTCCATATGCTTATTTAAGTGAATATGCTCTGTAATTAGCCTTGTGCTTTTTTCAGACCAAAATATAAAACTTTTAGAATTTCTTATTTTGGTTACTGCTGGACCATAAAAACCAAAAGGCATTGCTTAGCTGATGTCTTTTTATGTATGAATTATTAATAATATTAAGTGCCGTGATGTTTTTATTACTAGCTATAATTTCCTTCTTAGTAAAATTTCTTTCTGGAATAGATGATGTATATAACAGATTTAAAAGCTGCCGTAATTAAGTCAAGTCTTCATGTTTCCCTCCCATTTACCGTCTTGGCACATTTAATGCATTTAGCCCCAGCTATCCATTCTCGTCTCCCAAATTTGTGTACCTGATCTCGTACTTATGTTCCAGTCCTGTTATTCAAAGTACTTTTAATATATTTCTCCTTGATTGACATCTGCAACTTGACTTTTCTTGATTCCCCAAGTGTGACTGAGACAGGCTGCGTGAGACCTACCAACTTCCACAGTATTCCCACATTAATTCCATTCGTTCACTCATTTGCACCGTAGATAAGTATGAAGTTTCTGCTGTGCCAGGCACTGTGGTAGATTAGAGTCCAGGCATGAGACAAGACTCTATCTAGTGCTGAAGGTAGACATGTAATGTGTCAAAGTCGAGTGTGATGAATGTGGTGAAAGAAGTACATTCTTTCTTTAATAATGGAGACCCAAAAGAGGGACTCTGACTTAGTTGTCAGGGGTCTTAAGGAATAAATGAAAGTTATTTCATTCATTACAACTCTCTTTATAATTTGTTTTTTTTTTTTTTTTTGGTATGTGCATGTGATTTTCTAAGATTGAGAGTTGAAAATATTTAAGATATATTTTCTATAGCAAAGAACATACTTCCACATCATTATTTTTGGCTTTGGGGTTTTCCCACGCAGGGTTGTGTTTAGATGAGGTCTTCTCTGGGGATTTGAGTTGATTTAAGGTCTGAGGTATAGTGTAATTACATTCATTGTTTACTGAGTACTTAACACATTCATTCCTACATTTTTCTTATTGCCAACTATTCTAG